AATTATTTTAAAATGGATGCGAAATTTGACCGGGAGCCAGTGAAGTTGCTTCAGGATTGGGGAGATGTGGTGGGTAGAAGAAGTCCTAGTAATAATACGGGCAGCAGAGTTCTGGACACGTTGGAGCTTGTTGATAGATTTTTGTGTAAGGCCAAATAATAATGAGTTGCAGTAGTCAATTCTAGAGATAACAAGAGCCTATATTTTCAAAAAGGTCCATTAAATTGCATTAAATTGCTTTTAGGTTATAAGACAAGAAAAAATCTAAAATAAAACAATAGGAAATTTGAAACTCACACAACATAGCAAAAATATTGTTGCTGTCTGTTATTGAGTTAAAGATGCACTGCGTTATATTTTCCCTTTGCTGGCAAAGGCGACCATTACATGATGTGTGTGCAAAGAGCGGCTGCTCAGGCCAACTGTTGCCCCTCCACATGATTCACTCTGTAGACGACAATGCCAGAGTTGATCAATGTACACTCAGCGGAGCTGTCCCGTGTGACATCCTTCCAGGAATCATGCTGTAGCTCTATGATTCCTGGAAATCACAGCAGCAAAGGAGGAATTTAGTGTCTCTTTAATGTGCTTGTCTTGTCCACCACGGGAGTGCTTGTCTTCTCTCAAATAATTTCTTTAGCAAATGCTTGTCATCTATGCACATCTGACATGCAGCACTTAAGCACACTGCTTGAATATATTCCTTCTCTGGTGTACCAGGAACTTTTTTCTTGTTTTTTAATGGACAGAAACCTTCTGAGATCGCTCATATCAAGTTCTTCAAGTAAGTTCAGCCATTTCTTTCACTAGTGTACAACAAAGAGGGCATCACAACCAAACAATATACTTAGAGATGGGACTGCAGGCTGATTCCTCCCACTCTGTCAAAGACTGAGGTTGCTGTGTCTAGTACTATAGGACACCGACTAGTGACAGTACAGCTTTAATTTTATATTGCAGTTTTTAGAACTGTTTCATTTCACTTAGAAGAAATACTATTTTTTTTCTCATGACTTTAAATGGAACACTTTTGAATAGAAACATTTTGTAATTTGCTAAGTTACCTCTATGTTGGTGAGTTATTTTTACTAAATCAAAAAGGCCAACTGCAGTTTCACTGATGAAAATTTCCAAAAATGAACAAATGTGTTTTTTGCAAATGAATTCTTCATGTGTGGTTGTTAAGTAGCGGCACAGTGTCTGCAAAGAACGAACAAATTTCAGTATGTTTGGTATTTTCATTTAAAGTTCAAGTTTGACTGGATTCTCAATCAAGTGAAACCAAGAGATTAAAGGAGATTCACAAAATGCCGAGTGCATTACGGGTGACCCGTCGATGCAAATTCTCACTGCTTTGATTAGTCTGGCTTTGTGAGATGACGTTCTCTTTTCTCATCTTGTCTTTTTTCCCCACTGTCATCCTCTTACATGTCTCTCTCTTTGTCAGTCCTCTCCTCTACTGTCCTCTGAATTTTGATGATTATTAAACCACTGCAGAGGTTTATTTTCTCACCTCTAGCAAACACATTGGACATGCTGAAAAGGCCATTAAAATAATTGAGATGCATTTAAATGAAAGTTTAAATAAAAGCAATGAGAACATTTTTTAGACACTTCTTCTTTCAGCTAAACCTGCTAGCTTTGATACTGTAAAATTCAGCCTTGATTTGCCCGTTGCTTTTGGTTAAAAACAGTGAAATGTATGGTACCAGAAATCAGCTACAGAGAAGTCAGTTGTGTTTGTCTTATTTGTCTTATGTGCACCCTTCTAGAAGCAGACATATAAATCTGTTTTAATTACTAACATTTATAGTTTAAAATACTTTGCTCACAATTAAAATATGTATGTATACCTTAAAATCTGCAAACTTTTACAAAATAAATGTTAAGCATTAGTGAAATAGTGAAGAGTTCAACACAAACTGGAATTGTGTAAAGTTCATCTTCAAAGGAAACATTTTTGAACCTCTGAAATGTGCTGTTTTCACACAAACCTTTGGTCTAAGGGCAAACAGTTTTTGGTTTGTTTTGTGCTTTCTCAAGTTTCTCAAGTTACAACTTAATTAGTGAGTGTTTACAGTCAGCATTTTTCATGCAAACTATTGAAGCTGACAGCAATTAAAGCAAATATTGAGGGTTTTAACACAGTACAGTCTTTGTGACTGACTTCACAACCATCAACCCCTAGCAATGCACATTTTTCCTTAGTGACTGGAGGTTGCCAGCGGGTCGTCAACTAGTGTCTGTGTTGTATAATAGAAATGGGAATCTCTAGCCAGCCTACAATATGATATTGTTACAATATTTCAATATTTTGGCACTGCATAAATAAAATTCATTTTCAGCTCTGATACAATATTATTGTAGCTTTTTACATTTTGCGATATGCTGATCATTGCAATAACATACACTGCATTTTATTTATTTTTTAACTACTCAAGTTGGCAATTTGAAGTCTGTTTCTGATAATATATGAATTACCTCTGATAAATTGTCAAAAATCACATATTTGTTGCTGCCTACATAAACAGAAATTCCTATTATCAAAAGTTCTCATTTATTTTTTACATTTCTGCTTAGCAAGCTTTCTGTTCTATAAAATTACAACCAGCTGGCAGCCAGTTGAGTCTTCTGTAGTTCATTCCTGACAAAGACTCCTTTAGACTGATCGCAACATGTTAGCAATCTGTCTTCATTTATAAATTAGACAGCAATTATTTGCACACCTTCAGCAATCTCTCTGAGCATGACTGCAATTAGTCCAAGTCAGAATGTGGCTGTTTGCAGAAACATTACCTCTTATCAGGCAACATCTTCAATCACCTTATTGTCAAGTTATTGTGAGTGTGCAACATCATCAGGTTCTGGGCAACCATTTGGTCACCAAAAGTTGCTGCTCGATTGAATACAATCTTTTGTAACAATACAGTAGTTTGTTGCCATATTTTTACTAGTGTGACCGAGCCATTAGCTTGCTGCATTACTGTGCTGTATCGATTTATGCCTCTATAGTGTCTAGGCTTGTGCAACCTAGTCCTAGTCAAACGTCTAAAATGTTCTAGGAAAACAGAAACACCATAAAGGTTTTTAGTGACAGTTCTAAAAAACTCCTGAGGTTAGCATGCACCGCCCATTTATGTCTGCATGTAAATGTGTATTCTGTCTACAACACAATGCATAATCAGAAGCATAAAATAAACAAAGAAGAACAAGGAAAACAAGACTGCCAAGGGCAACCACAAGGCAGAGCCAGATACTTAATGTCAAAACAACATTACGACAACGTGCTAATGCAAGATGAAAACGTCTGCGGTCTGAGGATGAGTGTGAATGTCCCTTTTTTGCTTCTCTGCGGTGTATCAACAGAAAGAGGCTTTTCGTGTCAGTGAAATGACAGATTGCCAATAGTAATAAGACGCTGTGCTGTAGGAGGAGGACACGGAACTGTTTGATTAGTCAAGTTTCTGAGCTGAAGCTTTACAGCCTGACTGACAAGCCTTTACCGGTAATTCTGAGAAAACTTTAGAATGATGAGCACGCGTGCTTGGGTCTATTTTCTCTAAAAAAGGAAATGACTAGAAGAAAATTATTTAATTTAATTAAAAATCTGGGTGTTTTAGACAATAAATATTAAAACAAACACCTTTTCTTTTTCTTTTTTTTTAAAAAGATATTAAACCTTTTTTATTGGGATGCATCCAAAATTTTCACTTATGACTCTGACAGCAGCCCAGGATCCACTGGACTTCTTCTTCGTGATTTCTTTTTGTTTAAGTTACCATAATTCAAACATACAGCATAATATGTTTGTATAAACAACTAGAAAAAACAAAGGAAAAAAAAATCCCAATTTCTTTTAAGATGTGTGTTTCCCATATTATTTGTGAGACATATGACAGGGATATACATATATATATATATATACACATATATATATATATATACACATATATATATATACACATATATATATACACACACATATATATATATATATACACACATATATATATATATATATATATATATATATATATATATATATATGTGTGTGTGTGATTTTAATATTTCTTATCTATTTCTCTTTCAGGTGGCGAGTAGAGAGTAAAAAATTTCAATAGAAAATACCAACGTGGTAGGTCAAGACTAAACCTGACAAAATGATTACATACACATCACTGTTTGAAATCTTTTTTTCTGAGGTGAGAATATGATCAAAAGTTTGGATACAAAAAATAATGCCACCACGCAACAGTCATACAGGCTAGGGAAAAATGTCAATTCCCCAACCAGTTGGCAAGTGATTGCTAGACTAAGCTGTGCAGCACTCTATTTGTAAACCCTTTTACCTGTTAATAGCATTAAACCTCAAGCAACCATTTACCCACTGGTGGTGAAATACACACTACCGTCTGGTGAATGGAGGTGTGACTCATGACACATTTTATACAAGTCTGTATAAAACTACATGGACAAATCAACAATATTTAAAGACATTATCCATACACACGCAATTGACTGATTTACCTGCAAGGCCTCCAGGAAGCGGAAAGATCCAAGACGCCGGCCCCGTGGCACCAGGCAGAAGGTAGAGTTATGAAGTAGCTCCTGGTAGTCAAACCTATGCAAAGACACATTTTTAGAAAATAATTAGAAAGTGGGCAAAAAAACTGACTAAAAATGTGCAAAAATGGTTTTGTTATGTGAAACGATATTTTAAATATATTCTCAGAATCAATTATCAGATGAGGAAAAGAGAGATAAATAAAGATAATCAAATGTCTAAAAGTTGTGCATTGTTCAAGACATTTCAGTGCATTTTTCTGATCTATAGAGTGGAAACAAACAAAGGCCAAAGTGAAAAATGATTGTCAGGCTGAATCTATGCTCCCACTTTGTCACTTCCTCCTCAGTGTCCAAACCTCAATTTCACAGAACAATCAAAAGCAGCTTACTTTTAAATGACTACCGCAGCCTTTTTTCAAGGACTTTCCTAAAATGTGTCTTTGTAGAAGTCAGGGTGGTACCTCCTTCAGATCAAAAGATATGGAGGATGGTGGATAAATAATAAAATGTGCTGGAAATAGCACTCCGCAGCTGTTATAAAATCAAACATAGTGGCCCTGAACACATTTCATCTGATCAAGATATGAGAACAGAGAATCGTCCATGCTGGGTTGCTTTCAGTGAAGGCTTCAGTCAGCTGTGTTGGAGAGAACTATTGATCTGAAAGCATAGTTTATCTTGTCCGTCAAGTGAGATCAATGAAAACGTTTGAAGGCCAGTGCTAATATTTTTCTAATGAAATTCTTTTAGTGCAGGTTAGCGTCCCCTTAGGGTAGAGTGAGTTAGATTTCACTCAAAGGTTAGCTGATTTCAACTTGAAGCTAGTGTGACTGCAGAAAATTGTAAAAAATAAGAAAAAAAATCAAATCATAACCATCATTCGCTTGTCCTTGTACATTGCTCCTACATAGAAACCTGAAAATTCAGCAGTAATAATGGACTTGGCTGAGAACCTGAAGTCATAGAAAAACATGTATTATGAATGTACTGTAGTAATGGTGGTATGAATAATCATTAAACATAACGTTGACGGGAGACTTTTTTCTTGCCATAATTCTGTAGTCTTAAGAAAAGTGTGTTGCTGATAATACTGGTACAACAGAAATATTTAATATAAACTGATGACACAGGAAAAAGGTCCATATAGAGATAATTAGACTCAGGTTTTAGTACATTTGTAACCTCAACACGATTAACGTTTGGAGCCTAGTTTTATTTGCATTATTGTTAAATAGTTCGAACAGGACAATTTTTACCTGATCTGTGTTGTGAAACATCACTCCACCTGATTTTGATTTAGGTCTTTTCTGTAAAATGGGATTTCTTCCTCCCCACAGTCTCCACGTACCTGCTCACAGAGGATTTTTGGAGTTCTCTTTCTAATATTATTTTACTATTGTAGGGTCTTTATTTTACTAGAAAGTGCTTTGACATAGCTGTTGTTGTGAACTCTGACACTATTCTGTGGTGTAGAGTAGAGACAGTAGTAACACATGTCCCATGTATAGTGTTATTTAGTTTTTGTCCCATCTCCCACTGGAAAGTGAGATAAAAAGACTGTAGCAAACATAAAAAGGAGCATCTACTATGCAGATAATAAAAGTAATCGAACATATATGAAGTATTATATATGTTCTAATAAAATACTGAATTCAGGAACAGTAATGCAAGATCGTGCAACATTAAAAAGAAACATTTATTATACTTATGATGCTAATATTTACAAGAATTACTACATTACTTTTTGTAAATTAAAAAAAAAAGCATAAGTAATGCCTAACGTCCAAAATGTGGTTATCTAGAGGTAACGCATCAGTGATCAAAAATGATTTGTCTTAAAAAAAAAAAGTTTTCTATAAACTCTAATAGTTGGACTTCAGACTTTACTCAACTTTTTTTTTTCCTGGCAAGTCACTTTTGTCAGTTGAAAGTCTTTGACTTTAAAGCTCTGACAGTGTATGTGTCAGCGTGTGTGTGTGTGTGTGTGTGTGTGTGTGTGTGTGTGTGTGTGTGTGTGTGTGTGTGTGTGTGTGCGTGTGTATGTGTATGTGCATGATTTGAGGGCTGGCCTGAGGAGATTTCAGTTTGGAGTCTAATCTGTCTGGGGATCAACTGTCCACACAACCTCAACACTAGACAGGTGTGTGTGTGCATGTGCATGTCCACCTGCCTGGAATGTCTGCCTCCATAATGTGGGTGTATGATAAGTCTTCATGATGAGAAAGCGTCTGGCATATCACTTACTGTCACTGCACTTTTTGTGTGTTGCAGTGTGTGCGTATATGTGTTTGTATTTGTGTGACAGAGGAAGCAAGCATAATAAGATGTCAGACGTCCAGTTTGTCACCCAAAGACAAGGTCATGTTGACTGCCACTGAGGGAAATGAACAAAGACAAAGTCAGCTTGTCACATCTAAAGATGGGAATTTGAGAATAACAAGACATACTATTTGGCTAAAATTAAATCTCGCTCCACCACACAGCTCCTCTGATTCACGCTTTCATTGCCAAACATGACTTTTTTGTAAACTCTTTTCAATAAAGCCTGGTTTGTTTTTTATGATGTCATCATCGCCTGACTTTCCCAGAGGCCAATTCGGTAATGAAATGCCCGGGGAACCTGGCTTGTTTTGGTGAGGTGAAGCTGTTTTGTCCTGAGATGCAAGCTGAACCCTAATTTTGGACATTGGAGGATTTTTGAGGTCTTTTGGCATAAAAGCCCCAGAGTTGGAGATACAGCCTATCCCAGCTGTCTTAGGGCAAGAGGCACGTCTTTGGACTGTGGGAGGAAGCCGGAGAGAACCCACACAAACATGTGGAAACTCACTGATGGAATTAAACTCTGGACCCTCGTGCTGTGAGCCAACAGTGACAACCACCTTGCCACCGATGCTGTAAAATGACTAGCTAAATATTTTGCGATTTGAATTCATAACCTTGTTTAAAATGGTTCATCTTCTAGTAAAGTTTTGGAGGCAGTCGTGCATTTTAACCAAACAGAAAACTGAGAAAATGTGCTCTGGATGCACAGAAAGTGCAGATTATGAAGTGTCTTTATTAGATATTAGACTGTCGTCGCTCTCACTGACTGGCTGATCCTCTCAAAACACAATTTCTCAACTGATTAAACTGTCATCACACCTCCTGAGCCACCTGCCGCAGTGTTTGCATTAAGGGGCTGCAGGGTGTCTCACCTTACACCTGTGTGTGCACATAGAGCTCTACCTTTTCCTTACTGCTAGTTTCCGTAAGTGAATGACAGCGTGTGTAAGCTCCATGCTCCTCTTATGTACATTTATAATGTAAACAATTATTTTTTTCTTGTGCAGGTAACACTGTTCATTTTCAAAGATCTGCACTGAGTGTATGAGAAGGACCGGTTATGCGACTACAATACATGTCACAATATTTTTCCAATACCTATGTGAAGCAGTGCAAGAGGTGCAGCTGTAACTGTAGGATACTATGTTGCACATGCAAATGAGGATGATTTGTTATGATATCTAAAATATAGCAGTCATTATTAAAAGCAATCAAGAATATCTCCTTCACGTCTTTTATGTTATCTTTATTCAACCAGTTTCTGGTGTATAATCAGCCTTCCCTCCACTTTTCTTGTAATTTTCAAATACTAAATAGGTTTTGTGTGATTTTCTTTCTCCTTGTGGGCAGGAAAGTCACATAAAGACAGACAAGACAAAGTCAGAGTTGGATGATACCCAGTAAGAGAGAATTAAGAATCAATACGTGCCACATAGAATCACTCAGAACATTTTAGCTGAAAAACAAAAGAAAGAGTGTTGTTCACTATAAAGTAAAAGGGTTTTCTCAGTAGAAGACACTAAATAGTTTCAGGAGTGATGGATCAATACGGTTTACAGAGTGAAAAATGTGCCCTTTTATATCTGAAGACAAGCCAGAATCCAAAAAACAAAATATTTCACAGAAAATACAATACAGCTGGAGAGCTCTCCTCACAGAAAGACAGACAAAAATATTGTTGGTAATTGACAGCTCTGTCTGTTGTTTACTGTCTGATTCAGAAAATATTTCAAAAGGTTCCCAACACGGCTTGAGGATAAAAGGGTAGACACAGATACAGACTGATGGATCAACAACAAAAGTAATGGGTTTATCTAATTCTCCAGAAATTAGAACTGAATCCATGACAGCAGACAATAATTTAACCTGAAATTGACAAGAATCAGTGTAATGATGTGAATCTTCAATGAGATGATTATCAGTTGACTTGTCTGGTTTGATATTATCATATTCCGCACACACGCTATGCATTGCATGTTACTGCCATTGGTTTCACTGTCAATAGAGAAAAGTGTCAACAAATGTACTGACCTGCATGTTTTTAAACTGGAAAAAAGAAAAGCTTTACACGTGTTGCAGAAAAGCCCGTATTTAACTAGACAGTCCAAGCTCACAACATTTATTATGACAAATGTGATGTGATATGTAAACTGCAAATGCCTTTACCAGTAATTACTACTACTACTCTCTCTCATACAGACATCCTTCTAGGTGTAATTGTTCAGTATGTGTGGCTTATCATTTGCTGTGTGGACTCATAAATTATGAAGCAGAGAGACACAACCAAGAACATCGTGGAGGAGAAAATGAACAGCCTTTGTTCACAGAAGAGCAAACAAGGCTAAAATGTTGCTCACTTGTGTAATTTAGGAGAGAATGAATTGAATAACTTGAACCACACAGTGGAAAATGTCTTCCTTAGAACAACTACTCAGGCGCCAGGGTCTTTAAATGCAGTATATATATATATACATATATATATATATATATATATACATACACATACATATACACAAGAAGGTCCTGAGTTCAATTCCACCATCAGGCCGGGGTCTTTCTGTGTGGAGTTTGCATGTTCTCCCCGTGTTTGCGTGGGTTCTCTCCGGGTACTCCGGCTTCCTCCCACCGTCCAAAGACATGCAGCTTGTGGGGATAGGTTAATTGGATAATCCAAATTGCCACTAGGTGTGAATGTGAGTGTGAATGGTTGTCTGTCCCTGTGTGTTAGCCCTGCGACAGACTGGCGACCTGTCCAG